AGCAATAGCCAAGGAAATTTCCACTCTGACGGATTGAACACATCGTAGTCAATTCTTATGGAGGACACATGACTCAAATTGATATTCAAAAAATCGTGCAGCTGTCCCTACTACCATTAGTTCTTTTTTCTTTGTCAGATTCACAGACAGCACTAGTTAAGCTCCTTTTAAAGGATTATAAGCATGATGTGCCTTTACTGGAATAGGGCGAGGTATATTCTTAATGCGCTCAAAGCACGGCGATATGAAAGTGTTTCATTTCCAGCATAAGGTGACTATGTCATTAAAACATCATTTTTAGAATTTGCCATTGTAGGGCTAGTTCGAAACACTGATCTTTGATATTCTGACATCCTTATTTTGCTAATTTCAATCTAAAACCAAGTAATTTTTTTTGGAAGTTACATGTTACCCCTTCGCAGAAATGATGCTATCTTCCTTATGATTTTTACATGACGTCTATTATATTATTTTCCTTTATACCCTCTCTCTTCTTCGAATGCTGTCTTATCTGATTTTTTTAAAATAAATGTTTAGTTGATACCAATTGGGGATGTTTCGTTTACTATGAAAGAGAAGTGCAGATCGGACGGCTACAGGTGAGACTACAGTTTGGAAGACTTGATCAGAAGCAAATATGAGAACTCTAACTGTAACGATTGTAGGTAAAGCATAGTGATATGTACATTGACGGTGGTTTTGGCCAAGCTTCGAACAGATACTGTCTTGGGCGCGAAAACAATCCGCTTCGAGAACAAGACTGCCACCTTGTGAGGTCGGTTTCTAGCTTATCTTGTTTCCGGATGCAAGTTTTAGAGCATTTTTTAAAATCCAAAACTGCGTTGCTGGGTATCATTATATACGTCTGTATGGCACCTTTCTTATCTGAAATAGAGTTTTTTTGTAGGCAAACAATAGGAGACGGTATACGTTTGTCTTTCAAAGAAAATGGTGACGTCTGGGTGCAAGTCTACACAGGACGTGCCATATTTGTTCACTCCCATTATCTAGATCGAGAATCTGGAAGAAGTACTGGTGATGTTGTACACAAAGTGTATCCAGGAGCGAAAATTAAGGTACTCATGTTTTCTTCCTCATAGTTAGTGGAAAGCTGTAGAAATAATTTGCGATTGATCTTCGGTAAAGCCATGCGCTTCGCCTTGTGCATTGTATTTTTGCATTGTAATGACACATGAAGGAGCCAAAACTTTCAGTAACTAGCATTAGCGTATTAGCTTCTATACTAATATTGCTATCCAGCCTATGCGATTTTGAGAATTCGTTTAAATGATTTGGAGGATGAGAAAATGAGCAGTTTCATCCATCTCTGCTGCTTTGAATTGGATTTGTCCGGCTTATTGCTTAGTATAATTGAGCATATTCTCTTTTCTTTTTGAAGCTCCTCATCTTTTAATTAATCAAGGTTTTCGTCGAAATTGTAAGTGATTTAGATTTTCGATTTGAATAATGCCAAAGCCATTCTCCGACAACACATGGTTGCATGCCAAATGGCAAAAGAGTATCTGTCCGGTCAAAAAACACCTATGGACGATTTATTTCGCATGTATAAAAAGGATAAACTAGACGAGGTGAGTAAATCCCATAACTTGCGTGAGAGTGGCGAGAATGATAACTTTTTTTCCCCACTATCTTATACTATAGTTAAGACCGAATATTCCTGTTTGAATAATTCGAA